GGAGGCGTAATTTTGGATTACTTAGGTAGTTGTCAAAGCCGCGTACCGTTTCTGTTTCTTGAATGACGACGATGAAATTAAGTTTAGTACTGATAACATTGGTGTTTTCCATGTGAAGCCACCTTATCGTCTGAATTCGTCATGGGGTTTCCTAAATATCTCGAAAAGCAAGGCATGTCATTATTTGCTGTTTTTCTTTTTTTGGTATTTTTTTTTCTGTCTTCGTCACCATAATAGTTGTTGTTGTCGAAAAGAGTAGAAATTTCCGAAATGAGTGAAGAAACTGGTGCGAATATTCTTAGAATATACTTAAATTTTCTCACTTGTCGATGATTGTTTATTAAGGTTGAGGAAAGTATTAGGGCTGACGATTCATTGGTTATACTGTGCACACTTGAAGTTCTACCAGACGTTGGTCCCAGATCTTGCAGACGAGTCCAGCCGAGTGCTATGCCAATAATGGAGTTGATAGAAACAGCTCAATCTCACACGGAAAACGGTAGGTATTACATAATTCATTTTCGTTACAGAATGAGCTTACATTGATAAAATTTGTGAGGTGTTTACAATGTATTCTAACAACGGTGTTACGTTATTTAGACATAAAAGATGAAGTGATTAGAAATGATGAATTGGACGTCCTGCACATCTGAGGGCGGGGTCTAACACTTTTCCCACACCTTATCACGTAATTAGCAATAAAGTGAATAAAAAATGCTTTAAAACAAAAACTAGAGAACATTGATGACTGTTTCTACTATTACGTATGCTCCAATGCGGTAATTACAGAGCTTGCAATGTTTACGGATGCTAATTACTCTCAATTTTCCGACCTTAATGTCACTGCCATATCGGGTGACGATCAAGTGGTGTTTGCGGTGCAGAAGTACAAACTTATTACTCATTCGGACGTTTTCCGTAAGATGCTCGAGCATAATATGGAAGAAATCCAGGTATGCCAAATTGCTGCGTTTCGAATTAGGTGCTAACTTCTAATGCTTACTTACTTGGTACTAGAACGGCCCGTCATCACTAGTTGTGCGGGCCCCAGCATAATCACCTTTCTTTGGAGATTTGCTGGCTAAGCCATTGTGGTTCCCTGGAATCCCGAGGACAGCCTGGCCAATGTATGCCCCATGTCGTCACCACAACAGGCAGTCGCACCCCTTGTGAATCAAAGGGAGATTTACCACCATGAGACTTTGATACGAAGACGATGGTAGATCCTTGTATTGGTATTGGTTTACACTTAGCTAGGCTTTTTGATGGAAACACCGGACTATTTCTCAGCTTGGGAGACCCTGCCGAGGGGACAAATTCCCTGCTGTACATCGCAGTCCGACACCCAGAGACACCTCCCAGCCACGATGAGGCTGTGAACCGTTTAGACGAGCTTCTAATGCAGTTCAAAGAATGCACTGAGACAGAACGTGCTGTTCAAAGTTATGATTTGCTCATGATAAGTTAGACAGGAAGAGATCACTAGCAATCTCGATAGAGAATTATTTATAACTGTCTGTTTGTAAGAAAATCATTTCTACGTTAAGTGCATAATTGAACCAGATCACTCATTCTAATTTGGAAAAGATAAGTGACCTTCTTTCTTGGTAAGCACATACGAGGTTGTGGCTTTACTATCTATTTATCCACTGAAGTTAAGTTTTCAGCGGATTTCGCCTTCATCAAAGGTTGAGAAAGTTAAGTTAACTATGACCTAATAAGGCAAACACCTCCATCGCCTCAGGAGAGAAACCACGATACCTAATTGTCAATCGCATTAGGTACACAATAGCTTCGCCTACTCATCGCTCTCTGTGAGTCTTCTACTGATATTCCACGTGGAGACAAGCCATGTGATGTTCACATGGATTGGTGATACGCGGTACACTGATGGTGGGATATTAGTCTCAGATGTTGCGTTAGGTCTCCCATGAGAGTGAGGTGTTTCTTCCTGTGGTTCATTTTTGGATTCCTGGAATCAATCCAGAATACTTTGAGGGTTTTACACACTGAGGTTTTAGATTTCACTGCAATGATGGTGCCTTCCACTTTAATATCTTCCCTATTATGTGTTTGTGCTTCATAGGCACCTAGTAAATTCAGCTTAAGTTTACGCTTAGCGTCTATGTGTGTTTCAAGCGGACACAAAGTTGTCTGCTCGTCTCCCTAATTCATTCCTCCCTACACGCTTCACAAGAGATCAGATACACCGCACACAAAATCATGCAATCACCGTCTCTACGGTTAAACCAATTTGTTCAATTTTGCTTTATGCATAGGCAGTCATACAAACGGTTACGGCATCTTAGGGTTCTAGTAGCCGACGTTTACGCTCATTACCTGTGTCATTGCTCTTAACACACATGTTTACTTTTGTGGATTGTCAGTAGTGTCTTTGAACGAAAGCCTGAATTTTTAGAAAAATGGGATAGTGATTGAAGGTTTCTCCACAGCTGCAGTGAAAAGTGTGTTGATTTTTATTCATTCTGGTTCCATTTCGCTCCAGGATTTGAACATGAAGGTACTTTTGGCACTTTGTTTGTGGTTTGATTTTGGATTTTTTAATCATTGCACCTATCTTGCAAATTGTAGGACATTTCTGACGTTATACAGCTGGCAGAAAAGTACAGCATTCCTGCCATTAAGACATTGTGCGAGCAGGACCTTATTTCGAGGTGTGTAGAACCAACTTGTGTTGTGCTGATGTCCCGCTGTTGTTTTCACGTAGACGAAACGCTGTTTTAAAGTTCTGACAGAAGAGTGCGCTCAGATGACAAAGGTTACTTTTCTTTTATTGGCATTTCTTATCGCAATTGCTCTTTTAGAGTTTCTCATTCAAATATCATCGAATATTTGGAGTTTGCTGATTTGCACCAGGCGAATTATTTATACGAGTACTGCTTCGATTACGTAAGTCGCTACTAGTGTTCTTCCTCATTTGCTTGTTGTCCAACCCTCGGTTTTTTCTTTCTGTTCGCTTTTTGACAAGATTTCAATGTCGACGTCAAATAGCGTTTGCCAAAATGTGGGGTGATTTCAAGCGCACCATTCTTATGGCTTATTTATGCCATCGTGCTTAACAGGCTTCCGACACTCTTTCGACAACAACTCTCATACAGAGGGTTTCCAAATTTCTCCATTCTTTGTATAATAAGTTTCAAAGAAATTAAGAAGCATACGGTTTTAGAGTAAAAGCGGCAAGCTGGTCCTTTTCCATGCCAAAACCATTAGTTGAGTATTACTCCAGGTGACTGAGAATAGATATGAAGTGTTGGATACTGAACCATGGGCGGCGTTTACAGCTCGAAATCCACAACTCAGCACATCAATGCTGGAGCGTATTATTCGTTCTGATCTAAGTCTCCACCAGTGAAGAAACGTGATTGTAGAGGTTAAAACTAGGTGTATAACCTCCTATGTATGTATTTATTGCATTTGCAGAACTGACTTTTTGATTGCTATGACCTCATCACACTTTGTGAAAATTCCCTAGGTAATGCATGTCGTATGTTTCTCTTGTGGCTCCTGCCAATAAACAGCTTCTCATCGACCACTCTATTGGGGTCTGTGGTAAGACATTGTTTCTGGAGCAGTTAGCTCGGTGCTTAGAGGCACCCCGCAATAGCTTCGTGGTCCTTGGTTCAATCCATCAATTCGAGGTCGGCAGATTGATAGCAGACTATCTGTAATTATAGAAGCACTGGTATTGCATACGTCTGAAATACATTCTATCACCTCTAATGATCCTTTCGGACACATTGCGGATTCCTAAGGGATTGATCAATTCCGAATTTATCCTTTATCGCGTTGTTGAAACCTCCCTCAATATAGGGTTGTGAGCAGTTGAGCTTTTGTTTTTTCTTTTTCTTCGACACTTCGTATAGGGAAACCGGACAGAGTGGTTGATGTTTGCAATGACAATGACGATTATCCGTTGGTAATTACATAGTAGAGTTTAGAGAATAGGGAGAGTACGTCGCTACAAAAAGGTCGCACATAACCGAGGAGACCTCTACAAATACATTTGTACTATAGAGAAGGCCTGTGCGTCCACAAAGTGCACATTTATCAGCGGGCAAACCACACCCTTGAAAAGAGCACAAGTTTCCAAACCTTATTACACTTTTTCTCGGCAACATTGTGAACCTTCAAGTCATAAACATTTGTTTTGCAATATACAACTTCTATATGAACTTTACGTGGAGGTATCTGGACAATGTAGCAAGAGAAAGCGTGGGTGGAGTGCGCATTCGTCAGTGTGTCGAGCACACCTTTGGGAAAAGTGCATATTCGTAACCCATGTTTTCAAAAAATCATGCTGACGTTGTGTGCCATCACTCGAACTATTTATTTCATCCTGTAACTTTGACAATGATCAGCTCTGCAATGGTCTGCGAAAAATAATGGAAAAAGGAAATCAAAGAAAAACATATATGAGGTACAGTTCCAACGTGGACTTTTTCCTCACTTTCTACTTCTCGCATATAAACCATCTATCACATAGACACATTAATAAAATCGAAAGAATTCAGGAAAATGTTTACTACGCTACTACTTTCTGTACAAACCTGCCTAGTCTATCTGGTAGCAAAACTCGAAACACCACGTTTTGTCGACTTCGCATAATAGCCAACTCGACGTACTTTACAGGTGTTAAGCTTTGGTTGTCATGTAATAACAGACGTGCACACCTAAACTATGCGCAAAACTTGATATGAAGCAGTGAGGAATCGAAACATAGGCACCCTTAATAGTTTCCCTAAAATGCAATTACTGCACCTTGGACCGAATGTTTCCATTACGCACAAGTATTAGCAGTTTTCAGCATAAAACAGCTACAAGTAATTTCTAGAAATCATCGGGATCTATGCATGTAGACTGAATACTTTCATCAGTATCGAACTGGAGTTTACGAACTAATTATTTCTAGGGTCCTAAATTCTTCTCAGGAAGTATCCTAGGAAAAGAAAGTATAATAAGTCACGCAAAAGAGAAATAGCTCACAATGGTATAAGAAGAGGATATCCACCGTAAGCAGGTGACGGATCAGGCGGTCCCCGATATACTGATGGATTTCCAAAGCCACCCGGTCGTGGTGACATTGGAGGCTGCCATTTATTTGGAGTGGTGGGAACTGGACGAGGTACAGGAGGCGGCCATGTGGACAAATAACTAGAAGAAAAATGTGTAGGACACCTAAATTAGTGCGATGTCCAGTTACAAACTCTATGGACTTTTCGCAACGTGGCGAAGAATGCTCACCTATTAATCATTTAGTGGAACTGGAGAGAATTCACAGAACAGTGGAGCACCTCAGTCACAGCTATCATACCCAAGAAGTATGCTTGAAGGAATCTTCGCAACTACCACCGAATAAGCCTGTTCAGTGTAGTCTACAAGATGTTCACGAAGATTATCGCTTTGTGCACATCGAATACTGGACGATATACAACCAGTTAAGCAAACAGGACTCTGACAGGGATTTTACTGCATGTACCACATCCAAGCAGTTTCACGGGTCATAGAAGTTTGTCGGGAATACCACCTGCTCCTTTTCGTAACCTTTATGGAGTACGATAACACAGTCGATAGCGTTAAACTGAATGCGATTCTATCAGTGTTCTTCAACCAAGTACTGAACCCCTCCTATGTATAACACCTATAGTTACCATACCCACTAGAGAAAGAGTTTCCACAGGGCGATAGAATATCGCCAAAACTGTTTCGTGCCGCCTGTAGTGGATAATGCTCCCAAAGGTTCACCGCCTCATCCTGGCCGGGAATGTGTTTCTGGTGGACGTGCTGCGATGTACTGGTGAAGGATTCATTGCTCCAACAGGGTCTCCCAAACTGAGAAGTAGTCCGGCATTTAAATCAGGATGCTCAACTAAGAGTAAACCAGTACCAGGATCCGCCACCGTCCTGGTATCAAACTAGTCGCGCTGTGGAAAATCTCCCTATGATCCACAAGGGCTGCCACTGCCTGTGGTGGTAACGACCTGGGGCAGACTTTTTCTAGACCTACCTTGGAACTCGCGGAAACCAAAGTAGTTAACCAGCAATGTTCCGAAAAGTGGAGGTTATGCTGGGGTCCGCACAACCGGTAAAGACGGGCCAAATAAGTATTTGGCGAGTTGTATGGATGTTTTCTCCAGACATTGAGTTACTTGAATGTTTCATAAAATATGCAATATATCGGCGTGGTTTTTCATGAAAACATATTCAAAATTAACGAGTTTGTTCCTGTTTCCAATGCTACCATTTGGCGGAATTTCCGGCTCTCCACCACAGGGGTTCATCGTTACTAAACCTTGTAGTAGTTCACCATGCCAATCAAGTACGCGGATATTCATTCATCCACGAAAGTCATCTTCTGACTATAAAACGGTTTTTAAAGTAAGAAAATGTCATTCGGAGAAAGAATCGCTGCGGTCGCCACTTTTCTCGAACGTGCAGATGTTATCGGACAAAATTTGCTCATTGTTATTTCAAAGTAATGTAGTATCATAACCAATATCAGCACGGACTAGTTGTAACAATAAGCACAAAAGTTATTCCAAGAAACTACGTAAACAAAAAATGAGAGGTAAACCGACACCTCTCCGGCCTTAATTTCCGTTTCCGGCAAGTGAATACTAACAATTCCTGCTGGTGGTAAATCCCTCATGTATAAATCGAATGACATCATTTCCTAAACGCTAAGTAATAACATGTTTAAAAGACGAACTCCTCATGTTCAGATGACCACAGGATTGTCAACTGAAAAAAAAAACCAGCACATACAAACTTGTCTCACGCTGAAATTGTTGTTATGCATGAAATGCTTGGGTGGCACGAATTAAACTGCAATGTAACAAAATAAGCGATTAAGCAACAATAGAAGAAGATGAACTCACAATAAAGTTCCCATGAAAAGGAGGAAAAAGCTGTTGACGTTGATCTATCCCCAAGGGATGCGCCATGCATTCGACTTCATCAAGTCTCGTTGGAGGTGACTGAATACATATCGGGCCTTTACAATAACTCGCGGTGGCCTGCCGGTGTATCGAGCCAGTGCTGCTACCCTCCCAGACATATCCGGTACCAATCTGCCAATCCCGCAAGGTTGGAGGGATTGGTGGGCCGGTGGTGTGAAGATCGATACCATGTGTATTGCAGGGCGTCTCCGACCACTACGCCATACGCGCGGAACGTGCCAATAAAAAACTATCACACACCTGATTTCCTCCTCACAGAAATAAATTTAATTTCAAAACAAGTGCGATACTATGAGAATGCAAAGTAAAGAGTTTTCAAAAAAGATGTAATGAATAAAAGAGCTTACATCCGCACAATGTGGACTTCATGTCGGTAGTACAGCAGCTATTCGGACTGAAGTTTTATCGCAGTACACCGTGAATTCAACACTCTCCTGAAAAAACACTACAGTGGAAACAAAAGTGCTGCATGAAAAGGTGAGGCAGTCCCCTTACCTTAATCAACTGAAAATACTCTTCTATCCGATGGAACATATCTGCTTCCACGACTCAAAACTCCACTCAGTTTGTCAACTGTAATATGTAAGCCTATTTTGACTTGATGAACTAAGTAACTAAGGATAGACTAAACTAGACTAAAAAGCAGACATGAACTAAAAATGAACAAAATAAATAGCCAAAATGGGTAGCAGCAGCTATAGAATTTGAAAACATATTCTATTCTTACGTCTGCGTCCATATCAGATGCGCCCATATAACTAGTGCTTAATGTACGCATCAATGAAGTCTCGTCCACGTTCCACAAAATCTCAACGCCTTCGCTTCTGACTTCTGGAGCAGATGGATTACTGCTAACGCCTACCGCCCCGTTTTCACCAGCTAGCCGACTCTCTTCGGCAAGCACGTAGTTTGGCTGAAATAGTCTGTCTAACATGTGATTTAATAAACATACACCTTTCTCAAAATAAGATTCAGTGAAATTGGAAACCTTACCAAGGATAGCATTACGCAGTCTTCTGTCAGCTGAAACATTCAAACTGGCTGTACATTTATTTTGCTCCAAAATGTTGATTTACAACTTAGAATAACTGCAACTTATGAACAGGAATTGATTTCACGTAATCCATTAACACTACGCTTTTCCGGCGAAAGTCGACAAATTGTAGGTCTCCATAGTTATCGAACGATGAGCGCACATCTGAAATGGTTGACCTCTGAGATAGAAGAGTCGATTGTAATGGAACGGAGAACAATGAGTGTTAACTAACACTGTAGATTACTAGAGGTTGGTCACTTGTCATTAAAAGTTGAGCCGAAACCAAAATCCTTCGACAGCCTCCCTAGCGCACTCACCATGAGATGCCATTGCTGCCCTGGCTACACCCAGGCATCGAGAGGTACCTTGATCATCGAAACTCCACCAGTGGTTGTGCTGAAACCAAAATCTTTGTGCGATAAATACCCATCATCACTTTCCCCGTCCTTAATATAAGACGATCTCCATGAATACGCAGAAATTTCCAGTATGCATTTAACAAGGACTGCAAGATCCGAGTTCAAATTAGAGTATTCTTCGCGGATATTTTTGTTACAAAAGCGGTCATCTGATGTTCACATAAGCTGATCACTAAGGAAGGTGCTCTCGTCAAATTGAAAACATGCCGTATGAGAACCTGAACAACGCCCGGAAGATTAGGACATCTATTGTAACTCATAACAAAGATCTTTCTTATTGAGGAATGAATCACCACGGCTAACTGTGTGGTGTTCGAGCGTTGTCCAGACCCCACCAAGGACAGAGATATCGAAGCTCTGAAAGAAAGAATAGAACACAAACCTCGATATGAAACCTTGGGAACACCCTAAAATGACTATTGTAGGATTCCAGAAAAAACAGATTCAATCAGTATTCAAGGACATTCATAGGGAAGACGACCATTCTCAAGTAGGAGCCGACCCATATAGAAATGTGAACATTTTCGCGGAATAATGTGAGGCCATGCAAAAGTAAGAATGAAAACATATTGAAGGAAGTGGTACTATACCAAAGACCTTTTTGTGCTTCTATTCCCTGAGACATCGACGCTTGTTATGATAAGCCAGTAAAATTGATAACAGCTTAAAAAAAATTCGTTTTCTGAGGAAGAGAACCGCGACATTGCCATTGCCTACTGGAACGACTCACTAAAAGATTATTCACATCGTCAGCGAGGTTAGTTTCCCCTTGATACCATTGCATCCTCACATTCCACATTGGTTCCGACCAAAGCCTCCTTCGTGCAAAGACTCCAAACTGGAAAAGAAATCCTACAATAGCTCAAGAAGAAAAACGAAAAATGTGTATGGCAAAATATCACGCATGAAAACTATCGTCTATATGACTGCCACGTTAAATGAAACTCAACCGTAGACTATCAGCTACTCATCAACGGAGTTAAGAGCTACGTTAAATACGTCACAATTCACTAGTAGTTATGTTTGGATCGCATTTCAACCAACAGAGAGCAGAAGAGAAGAGAACTTAGGTTAGATCCGACGGCAAGACACCCAGCAATGCTAATAAAAAATGCAAGCTGCAGATTTCTGCGAAAGCGACAATGGCACGTGCACAATAAAAAACCTTTAAAAGTTTAAAAAAAACCAGTCTAGGGAAAATAATTATGCTACTCCACTCTCCAACAATCCCCCATTTGAGAGAAGTAACCACGAATTCCTCCCCGTGGTGTTTCAGATGCGATATCACGAACATATCTCCAAACAACATCACAAACGTTCTCCTAGAAGCTAGAAGTCACGAGCTACGTATAGTAATCGCAAACCTTATCGCAACATATCTCTGAAAGAAAGAAAACTTAATAAAATCAGGATTCACGCAAGGTATTTACTGCTCGATCTACAACACTTGTTGAATGCAACTTGCCCTGCATGGAGAAGATCCTGCTGCATCAATCAATGAATTCTGGTGAAGTCCAAGAAGTAAGCCTTATAACTTCATACAGACTGAAAAACCAAGTCTGTGGAACACAGACACTGCGATGGAGAATAAATCGAAATGAATGATTCACTGCGTATAGAGATGGTCCATGGATCATTTAATGATATTCGTTCAGGCTACCATTTTCGAAACAATGCAAGGAGAAAGTGTCGTAGAGCAAGCGCGACCAATAAATACAGACTATTTGAGTGTTCATTTAAGTTAATGAATATAAGAGGCCAGATATGCAAAAACACTTTGTTTTAGCAACAAGTATACGCGGACGGGTTACGCAGCGCCCAAGGCCACCCATTCTAGAAATGCATAATGACTGTAACCTTCACTACCTAAAACAATTGGTAAGGATATTTCTTCTTCAGCTACTTAAACATATGATACAAATATGAAGCTACATAATACCTAACGTCTAGTGTTCTCCATATCACACGTATCTTTGACAAATGCCGCGAGTTTTCAATTCATCGTTTAATTCCATCTCAAGCTCATCCTGGGAGTATCCAAGCAGTAGTCCTACGAACATTTAATCAAAAAAGGCGAAAAGCTGGAAAAGTCTTATATCTTATCTATTTAGTGAACTGCCTACTTCATTAAAGAATAAAGAGCATGGGAAAACTGACCTACAACATGAGATAAATTACGTTCGCGATGAAAGCTCTTAGGTTAGAAAAGAGGCAAAGTAGGGTACAGCTTAGGAAATCCAATCTTACACAATAGCATCTGAATGCTTTCGCATATTATGGACGTGAAGAAACCAATATATCTTCAACAGATGAAAAAGCAACATCGGAAATCTCCTCGTTTTACAATTCTCTCATTCCATCTGTAGATACCCGCAATGCTTTAAATACGCAAGCCGTAGCTTTCATTGAGAAAATGCGATACTACCATCCTGCTAACCGAAATTTGACCTCTAAATCCTGAAAGATATACCAGTTAGAGAAAAAAAACTTTCTCAATTCACCGAACAGCTCGGTTGTCGCTTAAACCCAAACGGAACTCACAACAAACAGCGACCTGCATCCAAAGTAGTAGAACCTTGCACAGAATCTGCATCAAAAACAATCTAATCCAATAAGAACTACACATCTAGGTAAGCAACAAACCGTAAAAGATTTTCTCTCTCCTAAACCACACAACCCTAAGCTCCTGACATGATCCTACAACGAAGAGCAAAGAATGGATTCGTATAACCCACGTTGAATGTCACTCTGAAAAATACGGCATTCCCATACAAATGAGTTTAATGTGCTCGACCAGATGGATTATGTTGTTTAAATACCCCTAGTCCTCACAATGGTTTATCGCCTCATCGTGCCTAGGTGTTCCTGAGAGGTGTGCTACGATGTACAACGGTGTTATTCATTGCGTGCAGTCTCCCAAGCTGAGAACGAGTCCGACGTTTTCATAAGGAAACCCAGTCAACAGTAAACCAATTCCAGGATCCACCAACGATCCAACGGATCAATCTTTATTTCGTTCCAAATTCAAACACCATCAAAATTTCAACGGTAGCTGAAATGTTTGATAACACGACAATGCAATCTCTGTGCTAGTTAGGGGACGCGAAAATTATGACCATTTACGACTCTAAACGATGAAACTCCCACGACCGACTTTCTATTAACCTCGGCATTGATCAAGTAATTCTTCGTATTTTTGTTGAGCAAACGCGAGGTGTTATTGTTCTTTATTCACGAATAAGCTGACGTTTCGGTGGATTTCGCCTTCCTCAGAGTCTGGAAAGGTCAAGTTGACAGCAATCTACTCGGCCAGACGCCTCCATAACCAAACAAAGAAACTCTAAACCAAGATTTCAATCACGTTGAACACATCTTTGCACACTCACCGCTTTCTGAGGTTTCCACTAAGTATGTCACGTAGAGACCAACCGCACAGAAATCACGTGGAAGTATAATGTGCCCCTCCCATCGGAATAGCAGTCTTATATACTGCCCTATATCACGCGTGATAATGAGGCATTCTTGCCTGCGGTTCATTTTCCGATTTCTGGAATTAATCCAGAATGCCTCGAGAGTTTTCAGCGCCTGTGTTCTTGATTCGCGTGCGAGGATGATGACACATACTTCAAAGTCGTCCCCGTTATGTCTCTTGGTCCTATGCGTGCGTAGCGGTGTATTTGGTCTATGTTTGCCGGATAGGTGTTCTTTTATGCGGACACAGAGGGGTCTACCCGTTTCGCCAATGTATTCGTCACTGCACGTCTTACAAGAGATCAGATAAGCTATACCCGAGCTCATGCAATCACCATCTCTACCACTGGGGCAAATTATGCAATTTTGGAGTTGCACATAGACGGTCATATAAGAGGGTTACGAACTAGCTGGCGTTTAAGATTACTCGGTGGTATTAAAACTACGCTTATCGAATTCTCTAAGCCCGCCCTTCTCAAGCAGCGTTTTATAGCTGTACTTATACCATTTGAGAAAAAGGGTAGGATAAACGGGACCCTTCTATCGCTAGAGTTGTCGTTTGGAGGCCTACGATTTCCTCTACACCTATCCTGAGCTACAGTTTCGTAGCCATTAAAATGGCTATTTGCCGTGTCAAGTTCCGCGACTCCGCTCTCTGCTCTCTTCCCGTGCACACGTTGGTTGCTGTTCGAAACATGTTTCTTATAAGCGCCCTTTTCGTGTGAGAGAGGTGAGAGGAGAGGTAATATCTCCTAAACGAAGATATCTCAGTTAGCGGCGAACTTTGCTTGTTTCGTAGGAAACAACTAAAGCGATTACAATCCGGAAATCCTTGCCTACACGACAAAAGTTTTTTTCTTTTGCCACGATGAAACTCTGATCTTATAACGCTCGCGAAATTTGCTTCTTTCACCTTGCTGTTTCAAGGTTTGCACTTCGAAGGTGAAAGCAAACTGACAAGCTGAATTTCGTCCAGCAGGACATGATGGTGAGCTCCAACGTATCGTCCAAGTCCACAGCAGCAGGACTTCTGTTAGAAATTTTAAAAACTCAAAATTTGTAGATACTTTTGCCGAACGTTTCAATTTGGATGGACACTGTGTAAAAACTGATATGCAATCCATACGATGAAGCAAAATTTCTTCTATAAATCTATGGCGTCCTGAGCTCCTGGAATACTGTAGAAATAGACATTATCGTGAGCTACAGAAAAATCACCTTAGCTGTGAAGGTAGCAAGCATCTAACTTCTTAGGATAAGTACGCTAATGGTAACACTACTCAAGCACTTTCGTAAAGAAAGAGCGACAGCGAGTGCGACAACAACACGCTTGGTCTACAAGGAGTGCTAAATTATTTCAATTAATAAAAAAGAGAACTTTCGTGTAATTCTCAAATGCGAACATGGGTGAAACTTGTTTCTGGTTATGCATTCTAAACTTCGTGAAAAGCAGAAGTCAAATGTGTCAAGCTTACGAACCTTCTCAGCGAGAATCCGATTGTGAGCACTACCGGACGAGTGTGACCTCTGCAAAGGAGGCCCACATACTTGACGAGATGAGCAGGCTGCTCACCGATAACGTGTAGTTCTCAAAAGACGGTCACAAACGATGAAGCATTATTATATCACAGCACCTATCTACATCGACATACATTTATATCCACCTCTACACGCATACCTATACAATCCCGCTGACAGGTGATTGCTGGTAGCACCTTCAGCTTAAAACACGGAAACGTGAAACGAAGAACCAGCAAGGTGTGGTGGTGAACATGTTAGCTTCCGGAAAAGATAGCAGCAAGTTCGAGACCCTCCATAAGCACCTGCGATTCGGAATTCTGCAAATATCTCAGCAACATCATTGTGGTTATATCATACCAACATTACAACATACCTCTCCCATTTTTATCTTGTTTCCATAGGAGATTCTTAGATTCCACACCTGGATTCAATTCGGTGTGCAGATACGATACGATGATTCCGTAAATGCACACGAAAAGATGTCAGTGCCTAAAAAACTATTTAAAATAAGCCATCGAACAACAACAACAAGAATATTTACAGCTACCTCGCGTTCCCTAAACAAGTGGAGTTCGTATGAACATATACAAAAAACATATACATAAATAAGGGATAAAGGACAAAGCTCTCAGCGTTGATTAATCCCTGAGGGATGCGTCATGCATTCGACTTCATTCAGCATTGTCTAGAGCTAATTGAATGCGCCTTTGGCCTTTACAATGACTCACGGTGGCCTACCGATGCACCAAGCCAATGCTGCTGTCCTCCAAGACAAGTTTGGTACCAATTCGCCGACCCCGAAGGATGATAAAAATCTTGGTGGGCCGTGGTCATGGGGATCGATCCTACGTGGGCGTTGCAGGGCGAGTCCGACCACTGCATCACACGTTCCCTAGTATATGTATATACACAAATAAGCATATTCATATATGTATATACAAACACTATAGGACGGAGAGTACAGTGGTAGTGATATCCGTCATCACGAGCATGGCGCTAGTTAGATTTCGCTCCGGGCTAATCAACACTTTCCTACCTCTGTGCTTGGGAAATTTGCATCGTATCTGTCTGGGAAAAAAATCACTCTCTGCAGTCCAATTAGAGAACGCTCTGCCCAGCTATCTCAGGACTCCAGGGTGAATTGCTCGACCAACGTTCTACGACAATCAAGATGAAATGAATAGCCTCAAGCAGCAACCGAAAAACATGTAAATGTTGGAAGATCTTCGTGGAGTATGGATGCACGGAAACAAATCAAACGCGAGAAGTGCTGGGATTCACATGGTAGACGTGAAGATGGGTCATATAAATAAACAAAAATATATATACTATAATACGCCGTCCTCACTGTTTGTGCGGGTAACCGTACAGTCTCCATTTTTTCGTAATTCTGCTAATTTAGCCATTGTGGCTCCCAGCAGTCCCGAGGTAGGATTAGCCAAAGTCTGCCCGAGGTCGTCACCACCACTAGCAGTCGCTGCCCTTCTGGATCATAGGGAGATTTGCCACTGTGCGACTAGTAGGTTACCAGGAAGGTTATGAATCCCGATATTGGTTTACTCTTAGATGGCTTGTAGAAACGCCAGATTTTTTCTCCGCTTAGGATACCCTGCTGGGTTGGGATGAATCAATCCGCTATACATGGCAGCCCGACACCCAGGCACACCTTACAGTCATGAGGCGGTAAACCGTTAGGAGGAGAAATGAGTAGAAAGCAATGTTGGACGGTACTGCTCTCATTGTTGTACAAAAATCAACCACTCCAACACGGAGCAGCAAACCGCATTCATTAAGCCATGTAAGGTCACGATTGGAAATGTTGGGAAGCATTCAAAAGCACGATCTATAACTCAACAATAACAGCGTTAAGTTCACATGTGTACGCAGATATATGTATACATACACGTACATATATACATATACGTGCATATATATATATATATATGCACATGTCTATGTAATGTATGTGTATACATACATAAAGTAACGTAGCACCTATTAAAACAACTAGGACAACTACCTCAACATAACCGAAATCTTCCCAACAAACTTTCCTATATCTAAGTTATATCACTAAATCTTCACGTTGAATTTGCTTCGACAGGCGAAGAATAGGTAAGTAAACGAACACGTGGCTGAAGCATTCCGAAACCATCTCCCAAAAGAACTAACGGAAATACAACGGCGTTAACAATTCTCATGAAAATGCGTCGTCACATCCGAATGCAGTTTGTGAGTTCGATGAAGCAATGAGAAAGGATTTGAATGCGGCAATGAGCTTCGGCCCATCACCCTAAGAAATTCCCAGCTAGTTGTAATACCACACGGTCTGCCGACATTTGTCCGTTAGACAGTTGAACATCGAAGCCACCTGGTACTTCTCAGAGATACAAGAAGGTTCAGAGGAAGCGAAAAATGAACTGAAATTTATTTCCGATTGACTCCCCATCGAAAATGAACAAGAAGACAACGGTGGCAGGGAAATAAACGACGAAACTCCTGTGGTCCTCATCGAAGAGATTGAGGAAAGGATACCGGAACATGGAGATGATGGCAATCATGATTATGTCGAGCATGAATAGTAGGACGATGCTCTTCCTCTAAAAAGCAATGTCTATAACCAAAGATATGGACAATACGATGCGTCTCCTTAACAACCGGAGTCGCACAGGACGTCAAGTGTTCAGAACGCCACCGAGTCGATGATGACGATTATGAAAGAGGAATCTAGTGGAAAAAAAACATGGTCCTCTTCAACGCTGTAAAACGAACTAAACCCACTGTGCTACACATCGTTGGCGAAGAGGAGAAATAAAGACATCATCGGAGCCTCCTCGCTGATAAATCAGAAAAAAGGTGGTACAAATTGATGACATACAATAGCAAATAATAGATAGATAAAATAGTATATTTATCCTTCATAGATAAGTGGAAATGACCGTTCTTGGAAGACCTAGGCTAGAATCAGATTCATTGTTTCCAATTAGGGCGACAATGTTTGAACACACCATTGCTCAATTGCACCCAAAAAGGATTAAAGGAATAATGCGCGATAATAAAAACTAGAAGCCTCGCGTATCACCATTAGGCACAATTGGTGCTGGTGTTCCACCTTTCTCCCAATGCCTTGATTTCGAGGAAGAAACCTGCTGAAACTTCACCGAGAATTCCGTCGAGTTTTCAATCTCTCCTTAAACAAACAATGTTTGGGTACATACCGAGAAGCATTGGGAACACAAGCGGAAAATTACCACAGAAGTTCCGCACTTTGGCTTGTAATCCACAGTACGTGCGTCTTCCACAATCCCTTGCACATTCATTTGAATGAATTCGTCAAATGAATCAAGCTGAAGACGTGCAACACCGTTTTCGTCAGAGGACGCATTGAGTGTAGAAAAATCAATACGCACCTGCCACAGTTCGCTTGATATCCCATCCATGTCCTGCTTCGCTATATCACGATCAACTCCCTCTCCACTAATAACGTATAACATCGCCATCATCTTTACAGATTGCTAATTTACTTAATTACTTACTTGGATAGCCCGTCTTCACTGGTTTTACAAGCCCTAGCTTCCTATTTTTTAGAAGTTTTGCTGGTTTAGCCACTTTGGTTCCCTGTAGTCTTGAGGTCAGTCGAACCAAAGTCTGCCCCAGGTCGTCACCACCACAAGGAGTTGCCGCGCTTGTGGATCAGAGGGAGACTTGCCACCACGCATTTAGTGTGTTACCAGGACGGTTGCGGATCCTCATATTGGTTTACTCTTAGCTGGCTTTCCTGATGGAAACGCCAGATTCCTTCTCCGCTTGGAAGGTCTGCTGGGGCGACAAATCCTCCCGCTGTACATTGCGGCCCGACACCCAGGGACATCTCAGCGCCACGATCAGGTGGTAAACCGTTGGGAGGAGAAATGAATAAAAAGCCCTAACTTCACTACAGATCAATGTGTTTTAACGCTATGGCAGTGATTCGAAATCAAAGTGCAGTAAGGACATTTACAAGTGTTTTTAATGTTCGAGATGGTGGGTACTAATGTGTAAACTAAACAGAAAACCTTACGAGACATTAGGAAAGATTTAGCAAAATGGCTGTGCGAACGAAGTTATAAGTGGTGGGTTGAGGAATAAAAAAAAAATTACACAAATGTGACAATGAATGTAATACGCAGGAAACATGAACAAATGCGAAAACGAGGTGGTGATATCGGAAAATTGATAGACCCGTTCGAGCTTACATAGAACAAAAAATGGAGGAAAAACGGAAAACCAAATTATCAAAGATGGGGTAAGATCATAAAATGTTTATAACTCGTCAGATATTAGTGCTGAAATGAGGTTAAATGCATCAGCTGAAGCTGAATATTCCCCAAGCATATTAAAAGCCACAATGCCGGCAATACGGCGCAATAAATGAGAACATCAGCCACTCTTTATCAACTAATTCAGTTACACCAGCAAGTGGTGGTACAGAGCAAATCATAGAAATTTCCTCGTGACCACACACCTCTAAAATGGGTACAAATAATACGCCAGAACGAGGATCCATGAGTGGAAGTCCAAAGGATCCTACACTTGCACGTTCAAAAAGCACCATGTGACGATCGCAATTCAGCACTAACAGTAACGGCTCTCTAACCTAAATAGTTAGGTTTTTGAAAACATTGGAAAATATGTAAACAAGGAGTGTGAAAGCTTAGAACTGAGCAACTATTAGAAAACCACAAAGTAATCACTTTTCGTCTCCAGCCTATTTCTTTTATGGCAGGATATGATGTGAGACATCACTACACCGATGCGAAGATATTTGCAAAATTCAGGACGGCAGATGTATGCGATGCCGATCGAATCCGTTATTACCCTTTTCTTGAGCCAAAGTGTTCACCGCACCACCATGCTGGTCCTTCGCTCACATTTCTCCCAGTCGTGTTTTATAGGTGCTATCAGCATTCACCCTTCAAAAGAATTGATCTCGGGAGCACAACCTCGTGCCACCAGCAATGAACAATGAACTACCGCAAAACAACATTAAATTCATAATACTTCTGTCACGGAGTCATCGACCAAAAATGGATCCAGATAGCCTCAACAGATCCCCCATGAGCATAGAAACCATATGACGACTAGAAGACATTTACCTAAACTATACAACACAAAACCCTAGCAAGATCTATTTAAAGGAAAAATTTCAATAGTTATTTGCTTCCTCGCTTCCATGAGAGCAACATGTCACATTGCCTTTAACGTCTCGACGTTCTATATAACCATTCTGGAGTGGTTGTTGATTTAAGGGGACTCTCAATTCTAGAAACGTCAATCGATGAAACGAAAGACCACGATGGAAAAGCAAAAAACGATAACAGAAGGGCTATTAAAAAATTCAATAAATCGGATTATGAATTACCCGAAAGCACTTACTGAACAGTCAGCATATTCTCTGCTCAAATCAGCACATGCTTCCTCCGCCGCGCTGTCTTCGGTATCATCATCGTTACTAAACAACCAGAGTTCATTGAGGGTTCAGTCGAGTTCTTCAGCTCCAGCCATACTTGGGCCCTGTATAATTAAACCACTGACCAACTCACAACGATAGACGAGGATCTCTGGATCTTAGAAACATATGACCTATCATATCAATGCACGGAATTGATAGGCAGCAAAGACGGAACAGTTGTTAAGGAGGACCTAAAACAACATGTGAAGAAGTTCCACAGTTGACCACTACTAGTTACTTTGTTGTACTCATGGGTTTATACGATGCAGACAAAAACACTGTGATTGCCTAACTCGAGTCATTAGTTCTGGGAAGCGCGAAAGCTCCGAAACGTAAGCGTCACATATCTACCTCGTGCAATCTCATGGATGTAAAAAAATGACTACTCAAGCCAAAGTTTTGGAAGTTGGTAGTTTAGAATATTGTCAGTTATACTCTCGATACTAAGCGCAACAACAAAGGTTCAGCCGCCACCTCTGCGTGTCCAAGTGAGGTAGTGCAACGCACAGGTACAACGCTCATCGGTTACGATGTCTTCTTAATGCACTGCCGTTGGTGCTAAAAAGTGGTCAAAGAATGAAAATGTTCAAAACATTACAGTTTAAGAACGAAAATGTTAATAATACAACAAAACCCACAAGCAAGGGCTCAATGGAAGAGAAATAGGGAAAGCATTTAGCTATGTATTCTTTCTTGATAAGCTTGCACGAGGTTGATAAATATATTTATTTTCGGCTAACGTTTCGACGTCTTCGTCTTCCTCAGAGCCGGTGATCCGAGTCGATGGTCCATGCTTGTTGTTCGCCTCGACGTTGCGTCTTCGCCTTCGTGTCGAGCCAGATCTTCCTCAGTGAGCCATCTTCTCGAATGAGGCATCCTCACTCCGTGATGCCCTTTTATACACGATGCTGATGGTGGATATATAATGACAATGTCCGGTGGTAACAACTTGTATTTCTTCCGGGCATACATTGTTGTTCGCCTCGACGTTTCGTCTTCGCCTTCGTGTCGAGCCATTTAGCTGTTTTTTCCCGAGGGATGATTGGATCTGGAGCACATGAAGTGACGCCGGATGCCTCACTGGAAATAGAAAAAAACATAGAGCATCTAAACAGAAATATGTAGGAAGAAGCAGCAAATGGCAGCAGCAACATGTGCACACCTAAAACAATTGGATAAAGGCCAACTACGACGATACACAATCCACAGTAAACGTATAGCGACTAGCTAGGAGAACAATAAAACAGGTGTGAAATGCAACAAGCCTTAACCCTCCAAGATTTTAACCAACGAAAATAGTATGGGATATTGCAGAGAAACAACGTCGTGTATCATGTTGGCTTTAGAACAACTGCATACTCCTTTTTATAATGGATACATTGCCTTATTTTCAATCAACAACCCGTTGTTATCTTCTAAGCATTAACACGATGTATCGGTGATGAAGCATGAAATGTACAAATGTCGTAGCAATAAAGGAATTATAAAATAAACTCAACTTTGTTAACAGAAAAAACCAAACGACGGAAGCACTACTACCGTAAGCCCGACAACTGAACCACATGTAAGACTATTTAGCATATAAAGAAAGGTGTCGGAGTAAATCAGTCCCTGGGAGATTCGCCATGCATTCGACTTCATTAGGGTTCGTTGGAAGTGACTGAATGCATATCTGGCCTATAGAAAGACTCGCGGTGGATTGACGATGTATCGATCCAGTGCTGGCATCCCCCAGACCATTCTGGTACCAATATTCCGACACCACAGAGATGGGTGGCCTGGTGAGCCAATGGTACGTGGAGCGATCCCATGTGTGTATTGCAGGGCGCCTCCCACAACTGCGCTACATGCTCCCATAACAAAAATAGTAGCAGAATAAGGCAGGTGGTTACAATGCACAAGCAAAGAAAAACGACAAGTGCGTACGGGATTGTCATCACTGTCATCATGTTCCAGTGGTGAACTGCGGCACTACATGGGTACAACAAACGTTCTCCGAAGTGGCATTTTAAAAACAGAAAATTAAACTCCTCAAGTGATGCAAATGCATTTCACAATAACTCGTAGTTTTTCAAGACAACTACAAAACCATCGAAAGAACTTACATTGTGTGAGAGCTGCTCAACGATACCGACATGATACCACGAAACGAAAAGCCAATTAGGGCAGTAGGACTTCGTTCTAAAAATTTGGCACATGAGACATAAAGCAGTTCTGAGCCTTCTATAATGTTTTCCAAATCTTTGCATAATGAGATGTAAAACACATTTTATGCAAAGTCGGAGGACCAATAACAACGAGAAGTGGACAAACGTCTCACCATCGTAAAAAGACTCTGTGAAGACGTAGATGAACAAAATATAGTACCTTAAGTAAGGTGCTCCCTGTAGTACTCCAAAAACCGAAGTAAAAAAGAATCCCCGAAAAGCAAATGATCGGTGATACAATCGATCGAATACAAAGGACTGATCACTCATGATACCGAAAACAGAAAAACAACATGCAGTGCTATTGTTATACCCACCTAGGAGTAACCCGGTTCAGCATGCCGGGTACAGTACGACTTCGTAAAGCAAGATTTAGCTAATTAACCTATAAACAGTTCAATATGGATAGAGATAAAGAAAGGATGAAAAGACAAGAACATCAAAAAACATCAGGACTAACTTAGCCCAACTGTTACCTTGCCGGAAAGCGGAACATCAACCTCAAATTCCTACGGTTGTTCGAGCACAACGAGTTCGTGAGAAAAAAAAAGACTTACTGCCCAGAGATGTTTATAAACAAGGACATATGTGAATCGTACCAACAGTAACAATATGTCACGATGAAGCAGTCCCAAGATAGAGGGATGGATTCCGATGAGGCATGCTCTCAGCGTCGGCTGCTACTTTCAAACATGTTATCTAGACTTGAATCCTAGTCAAATACAATGTAAACACTTTGCACATTCTAAAAGATGAATCTTTGAAATCCTGCAAAAAGGCAATGCAACTAAACACTATGTTCCACCTCTCTATCAATTTTCAGCTTTCGAACAAGTTGTAAATGGCCAGCATTGCAACGAAGAACTGGGGCAATAAGGTGAGGATGGACACTTTTTGATTGTGCTGTTCAATGCGACGACAAGACCATATCCACTGTCTTAAAAATCTTAGTAAAACAAAGAATTCAAGGCGAAGAAAGGAGTTACTCTCTCAACGGCTTAGCATCTCAACGTGGTTGGGAGGTGTTTTTGGGTTTTGGGCAGCGATGTACAGCGGGTTGATTCATCACCTGCAGCGCCTCCCAAACTAAAAACGAGTCTGGCGTTTCCATCAGGAAGCCTAGCTAACAGTAAACCAATACCAGGGTCCACCGCCGTTCTGGTATCGAACTAGTTACATAGTGGAAAATCCCCTCTGATCCAAAAGAGCGGCGACTACTTGAGGTGGTGACGACCTGGGGACTCCAGGGGAAGAGAGTGGCTAAAGCAGGAAAACTCCGAAAAAAAAAAGAAAATTATACTGGGGTCCGCAGAACCAGTGACGACAGATTGCCCAAGTATCCAAGTATTACTGCTTGCAACAACCATGTCCACTGATTAAATAACTTGCTCGATATGTATTCCGTGGGATTTTGATTATGATCGGGGAATGGAACGACGGCAGTGCACATTCCAAGAGTCATTCTAGGATGAACCTCACATGAGTGTGCGTCGAGACAACCATTAGTTTTTAGATCATCGGACCTCATTACCAACATCACCGTTTCTAAAGAAATACAAGCAACGCTATAACACATGTAGTAAAATCATCACTCATTGCCTGGAGTAGAAATTACGCTTAAAAACCACCTTCCAGTGCATCGATCAGTCAAACTACTCACTAACAAGACCTGACCGGTTATAATTACTATTGCCATTTCCACAAAACGAATGTGAACAATCACTATTTAGCTCGCAAATCGTCCACTTGAGGAAGCTCGACTTCACTTTAAACCCAAGTGTATAGCAACAGCGAAAAACTAAGAAATCAGCAAAAACAAGAAGAACATATCGATAAGCGAAAAGGTGAGTAAAAACGAGACCCATTTCCAACTTATCGATATGACTCGTTTTCAATGCAAGTATTTCATTCTCTACAATCAATGATGGCCACTCACCAACTTTAAAGTGGTAAAACTTCGACGTCTGATGCGATAATGTCTACATGTCCTCCAAACTCCTCAACAGTGGTTATGAGGTGTTCTGGGTAACGATGAACTCCCACGCATTCATGAAAACATTTGTCGCGTCAACAATCGATCATGACACCACTCCTAAATAAAAGTAGTTTTGTAGAAGCACATATATAATACAAATAGTGGTGTGCCCGATAGCATATTATGTAACAAGTTTTCCATGGAGCTCCTCAGAAAAAAAATTCTAGGATTGCTTCTGGCAACGAACCTACTGACATATATTCTATCAATGAATAAGTTTTTGCCACCAAAGTACAAACCCTTCACAAAACCATTTCTCGACCGCTAGGAGCCCCGCTGGACATACCTAAGTGTGATGTTCCCGTTCAACACACTTACCACTACGAAAGTTTAAGCTCAAAATACACTTACCTGGATGTTTGGATACTTGGACGAGTCTGATTTCGATCTTTGTGAAGCACGATCTTTTTCTCCGCTTCGCTGACCTCGGTGATCATCACCTCTGCTTCGCTAGTATTTCTTGAGATGACAATGTCGTCGGCAAAACGAACGTTTGATAGGAATTTTCCATCAATACGTATGCCTTTCTCATCCCAATCGAGTGACTTCATTCTCCACTGCAATGCGGCACTGAACAGCTTCGGTGATATTGTGTCGCCCTGTCGAACCCCTTTTCCTATGGTTATGATAAGAGGTCGATGGAAAAGCTGTATTTAATGCAGTGCCGATAACAGTCAGAAACAGTTCTTATGCAGAGCGAGTCCACTCTATTGTCGACGAGCGCTGATGGGATTGCATTCGTTTCGACACTGTCAAACGCTATCTCATAGTCGACAAAGGTTAGGACCAAAGGCAAGTGGTGTTCCCAACAAACTTCGATGAACCTGAACACGGTTTGGACTAGGTCCATGCAACAAAATCCTTTTCGAAATCCTGATTGCTTTACTGGTTGCCCTCACCCAGCGTCCTTGATAGGCGCGAAAGGATAATCTTCATGAAGAGCTTGTAGAGTACACTCAACAAAAGCACATGGGATGACAGTTACGAAGATCTCTTTGGTCTTCTTTCTTGGGCAGGATGACCGTGAACGACGTCCTCCACTGGTCTGGGATTTTTCCCTTTTGAAGATAGGATGTCATATGATTTGCGAGAAGTACATGTAAATAGTGGACTTCAACTCTAGTCGGCGGTAATATTATCGGGTCCTGGAGCTGTACCTCCTTTCATGCTTTCTATTATCGCAACTCGAACCTCCGAAGGAAGAATTCTAGGTGGTTTTCTCCAGCGGGGATATTAGGGCCCGGGACGGGGATTGTGGAACGGAAAAGATTAGTGTAGAACGTTTCCGCTATTAATTCAACATCATGGCGGGAAGGAAGTTTTGACGAACCCATCTTCTATAATGCTGAGATATTTGCAAAACTCTGGACCGCAGATATCCCGTGACTGAAGAGTACCCTCCTAGAAGGGTATGAGCGCGCTCCGCACCTGTCCACCGCAGACACCTGCGGTCCTGAGTTTTGCAAATATCTCAGCATTATAGTAGTTATATTTCGCAACATACCCTGCCGTTAAAAAGAATGGGCAGTAAGTAAAAAGGTTAAGATTGTAATCCCATCTTCGTTTGTCAGGACTGACAGCGGAACGTTACAATCACACAAATCCCGATGGCATTTTTTAGACTGCTTCTTTTCTCTGCTGTTTCCAGTAATTTCTTCCGCTTATACCGTTGTAGATCTTCCTGCAAAGCTCTTCTGCAACTGGCATTTATTACTTACCGTGTTAAACGTGTTGCAGTAGGATCAAGCTCCAGTTTCCTCCTCCTTTCAAGCAACTCGTCAGTAGTATGTTGTTGTCTGAATGTGGTCGATCTCCGCATGACTCAAAAGCATAAGCTCAAACTACAAATGATAAAGGGCACATTAGAATATAATAAAAAAGAATAATTATTCGGTTGGTAGATAAATAGTTGCTTGATTGAAATAAGAGACTTTGGAGTCCAAAAAAATTTCTAACAACAAGAAGCAAGTCAGTTCTTTCCTGTAATGTAGAATTCAAAACACCGTTCGGCCTTACCTTCATCATTTTAAGAAAGGTTTTGACTCAACTGAGATAGAAGCAGTCATGGAAGTCATTTTAGTCAGGGAGTCCCTACTCAACACATAGAGATTCTTCGCGAGCTATACAAAAATTTCACAACCAAAATATCACCATTCTACAACGATATTATCATTGATATCAAAAAAGGGGTTAGGCAAGGCGACCCCATCTCGCCAAAACTATTTACCGCCACCTTCCAAAACGTCATGTGAACATTGGAATGGGATAATATGGGAGTGAAAATCGATGGTCGGCAATTATACCATCTTCACTTTGCTGATGACATAGCCCTTATAATACCAAACATTAGCCAAGTGGAACGTATGCTTGCCGACTTCGTCAGAGCCTGTGGAAAGATTGGTCTTCGACTAAGTCTCACAAAAACCATGTTCATGAGCAACGGATTGCTTTCGTATGCCCTATTCACGCTCAACGGAACGAACATCTCCGATTGCTTCAGTTATGTCTATTTAGGACGGGAAATCAATATGATGAACGACTTAGCTCTAGAGTTGATCACAACAAAACGAGTTGCTTGGGAAGCTTTGAAGAGCATCGAGGATGTAGTGAAGTGAACAAGGAACACCCGATTCCGTTTCCACCTTTTCGAATAAACGGTACTTCCTGCTCTAACGTATGCGTCAGAAACCTGGTCGCTACGTAACCAGGATGAAAGGTCACTTAGCGTTATTGAACGCGCAGTGGAATGGACGATGCTAGTAGTATCCCGTTTCACACATGTAAGGAAAGGTAATCGAAGGTCCGACCTGCCTCAACGATCAAAAATCAAAGATGCTGTTTCTGTACGCCAAACAGCCGAAGATAAAGTGGACCGGACATGTAATACGTGTGAATGACAACCGATGGACAAGAGCCGTTATTGACTGGATTCCTCGGGATGTTAAACGCACTGCAGGAAGACATCCGATGGTCAGAATTCATCACGAAAACCCTACAAGAAAGATATGATGCTCGACGACTCCCTAGAGCGAGCAGAACCCACTGGGCTACTTTTGCACACGACACGGAAAAATGGAAAATTTACTGGCGTCCGCTCGAATCACTCAGACTACATGTTACACAGGTGATATATATATATATACATATATATATATATGACATATATGTGTACGTCTATACAATGTATACGTATATAAGGCAATACAGCATCAATTAAAACAACTAGAACTACCATAACAGGACCGGAAATTTTCCAACTTTTTCATATCTAAGCTCTGACACTGAATCTTTCCGTAGAATTTGCT